GTACTTTTCTGTGGGGTGGATGTTAAGTCTAGCTGGCTTAAGCGTTGTTCAAGTCTTCTCTTTCTTTGCTGAGCTTCTGTCTGTCCATTACTGGAAGTATTGAAGTCTCCAGCTATTTTTTGTTTTTTTTAAAGATTTTATTTATTTGACAGAGAGAAACACAGCAAGAGAGGGAACACAAGCAGAGGGAGTGAGAGAGGGAGAAGCAGGCTTCCCGCCGAGCAGAGAGCCCAATGCGGGGCTCGATCCCAGGACCCTGGGACCATGACCTGAGCCGAAGGCAGACGCTTAACGACTGAGCCACCCAGGCGCCCCGTCTCCAGCTATTATTGTTGAATTGTCTATTTCTCCTTTCCATTCTGTCAACTTTTACTTCATGTATTTTGGGGCAGTTAGGCAAACATATATTCATAATTGTTATGTCTTCTTGATGGATTGGTCCTTTTTTCATTATAAAATGTCCTTCTTTAACTCTGGTACCAATTTTTATTTTAAGGTCTATACTGTTTGATGTTAGTATAGCTCTCTCTTTTTTTTTTTTTTTAAAGATTTTATTTATTTTTGAAAGAGAGAGAATGAGAGAGAGCACATGAGAGGGGGGAGGGTCAGAGGGAGAAGCAGACTCCCTGCCGAGCAGGGAGCCCGATGCGGGACTCGATCTCGGGACTCCAGGATCATGACCTGAGCCGAAGGCAGTCGCTTAACCAACTGAGCCACCCAGGCGCCCCTACAGTTATCACTTTTATGCAGGTTTTTTTAATCAGATAGGAAAAAATTATAAACAAAAATGCATCTATATTTGTTTTTATATTTACCTATGTACCTTTACTGGTCCCTTTTTTTTTTTTTAACTGGTGTTATTTCTTCATGTGGATTTGAGTTACTGCCTCGTGTCCTTTTATTTCAGCCTGAAGACCCCATTGAGTAGTTTTTGGAGGGCAGGGTTCTTGTAACAAGCTCTCCTACTAGTTTATTTATCTGGGGTTGTCTTAATTTATCCTTTGTTTTTGAGGGACAGTTTTGCCATATATAGAATTCTTGGTAGGTTTGCTCTTTCAGCACTTGGAAAAGGTCATCCCACTGCCTTTTGATCTCCATGGTTTCTAATGTGAAATACGTGTTTTTATTTCGATCGCTTATATGTGATGAGTCACTTCTCTCTTGCTGGTTTCAAGAGTCTTTTTCTTTGGCTTTCAACAATTTATGAAGTGTCTAAGTGGGGATCTTTTTCAGTTTATCCTACTTGGCATTCATTGAGTTTCCTGGATGTGAAGATTCATGCTTTCCATCAAATCTAGGAAATTTTCAGGCATTATTTTTTCAAATATTCTTTCTGTGCCTTTTCTGTCTCTTTTCTGCTCCTGAAAATTATGCATAGGCTGGTATGCTTAATGGTGTTCCACCAAAAAGACCAATGGTCTTTTTTTTTACTGTTCCTCAGACTGGACAATCTCAATTGACCTAACTTCAAGTTTACTAATTCTTTCTTCTATCTATTCAAATATGCAGTAGAGCACGTGTCCTGAACACGCTGTGAAGGTGCACCCACGAGCTGTGTCTTTCCCCAGTGTCCGCTTTATTCAATCAGAAAGCAAGGTTAATATA